GCATAACTTTAGCTTAGGAGTCCTGTCCTCACCATGAAGTGACAGGGTGAGGTGAACACAGGTGGTTGCTATTGTTAGCTAATCATTTACAGGATCAGAAACAGTTTTACTGCCAAGTAACGTTAGGCTTACACAAGGAATTTGTCTTTGTGATTTGGTGCATAATGATAAATACAAAACAGTAAAAGTCAAGCGACATAATAGAGAAACAAATACAATAGAAAATATGGAAAAAATATATAAGAAATGCCTATATTTGTATCTGTTTTTAAAGTGGAGGAGCTGTACAGTTTTCACCATGTTAGGTTTAACCATAATGTTTTTATTTAATAAATTAATTGAGCACTAAAGTGATTAGCTTGGTCATATAAGCCTCATGTTATCACACTGCAGTCCCCACTGAGAGACAGCTAATAATAGCTGCTAATAGAATAGATTCTTATGCAGCGCTTAATCTGGTATTAGTCTTTATCCACTGCGCTGGTTTTACCACATCTCTGTGAAGAGCAATGGCTTTACTATGAAATGAACTATGACAAGAATCGTATGAATGTGTCTTCTGTGCTCTGATCAGTTCAGACTTCAACCACGGTTCTGCACAGAATGGCTAAAATGGGCAAAAGGAATCAGAGTCCATTTTCTGGGCCTGAATATAGACATTCAGCTCATAGTATAATACATTCAGTATTCATTCAGGAATACATCAGAGACTGACTTGTAACAAAGGGTTGGACATGGGGGCCTTCATTGCGAGAATGTTTCGGTGAATATCCTTTTGTAGCCCGTAAGCAATTACCCAGATATATCTACAGTCAGCTTCATAATGCCGGGGCTAACATTAGCACAGTCTGACTGGTGTGTCAGAAAGACCAGAGCCCATGCTGGTGGGACGCTCCTCTTTTTACTGTCCTGGCCTTTTAGACCCACAAAGAATGGGGGATGAAAGGAGAGAGCACTCTGTTTCCTGGGGCACCACTATCTCCGGCTCTCTGTGATAATCCCGTCTTTATGCCCGAGGGCCTTGATGGCCACCATGATGCTTCTGCTTCACTTTCCCCGTTCCCGCTCTATAATTATGACCCCGTCTTTTGTGCTTTCTGAACGCATCTTCAGTGGACATCCAGCCCCACAGTTCTATTTTATACGCTATATGTCCACTTTGGCTGGAAGCGGAAGATTGTGAGTGGAAATAAAGGGAGAAAACAGGCTATTTTATTATTTTTTATAAGACTCTCAATTTAACAAGCAAAACCCAAATAAATGTTAATGCTTGAGCTGCCAGTGAAACATACATTTTGACGGCTCCTGCATCCTGTTCTTGTGCTGCGTGTGATTCAGTGGACTCTTTCCAACACTTATTACATACAGGAGAATTGAAACGGAGGTAATTTCTCAGCAAAACAACCAGCGGTGCAGTGGGGGGGAAAAACAAAAAAAAAAGCGAGGTCAGTTTCCCCCCAAGGCGGGACCGGAGCAGCAGTTATTAATAACAGAAGTACAAGAAGCAATGAGAGCGTTGCACTCGCCAGGTGTCCACAGGGAGCTGGTTATAGTGAACCAGCTCCTACACCTGGAGAGCAGGCCACACCAGCACTACTCATGTGTGTGTGTGTTGTTCGTAAGTCAAAGCTGGACAGACAGAGAGAATATTGGCCTCTCTGTGTTGTCAGTGATTGTTGTGTCATGGTTTGAATATGAATAGCTCTGTTGTCAATATTTAAAAAGGATTGAAGATATTTTTTGACATAGTGAGATGTCAGCGCTACCCAATAAATCAGCTATTAGTTGTATAACCACAGATAACATATTTATTTTGGTTCACATTTGTTATCCGCGTGATTGAATTTCCAGTTTTTGCTTGTTTGCACCACAGAGCTTTTACGTACCCCGCTGATAAGTGATAATACTCAAGCCTTGATTGTCAATTGGAGAAAGCAAAGCGGGCACTTTACCCGAGGCCCCTAGACCATCAAAGATTGAGTGTCTGTTGGTTTGTGGTAATTTGATTAATTGCAAATGTGTTTGGGAATATGTAATCACTGAGGCTCGATATCAAATGAAACGATCAGGGTCTTAATCTCAGTCCTGTAATCTCATCCGTCTCGTTTACTTGTGTCAGAATTAGCTGAATACATTTGTTTAAGCAAATTACCAGAAATCGTTTGCCAGTAACAATACGCTCCCTCAGAGGTGTGCTGATATGTGCAAATAACACAGTGATCTGGCTGTTCAATGTTTTCCTCTCTAAAACAGACCACTGACACTGTAAATAAGGCGACTAGACAGCAGCTCATGACATGTTTAACTCTATAACAACTATTTAATCCTCATGCCACATACTGTGACATGTTTTTCTTGTATTTTGATGTTTGCTTCGATGCATCTGCAGCACAGCTCCTTATTATTTTACAAGTGGCTGGCAGACCTACTCAGAGTATTATGATATAAAAACAAAGGATTGTATCATTCCCTGAACACCTATTGCACAATACATTTACTCATTCATCAAAACTGCAAGGAGAGTAGAAAGTGGTTTAAGAACAGGTGGCATTGCATTCTCCATTTATATCTCGCTTTAACAAAATGGCGCTGGGGCCAAAATGTGTTAATAACATAGACTGTATGTAGGAAGTGGACGTAGTCGTTGTGACATCACCCATTGGTTAGTGGACTGCAGTTTTGAAGCCTCGAGTTTGGCGTTTTGGCCGTCGCCATCTTTGTTTTTTTGCAACCAGTGAACGGAAGTATACTTGTAGGGTAGCGGCCTGTCAGTCACAAGGTAGCCCCGCCCTAAAGCGTACTCTGCTTTATCGTCTATTTTACTTTAAATGGGACAATAATGTGCTAAATGAACATCATGCTGTTTTGAAGAAGTAGAGTCATTGTCTCATAGACTTCTGTACAATATGCTTTTTTATTTGCAACGAAAGGAGGCGCCCCCTGCTGGCCAGTAGAGAGACACTTCCGCATTGGCTTCACTCGGCAGAACCGGAGGTTGCCACCTGAGTAATAATACAAATCAAGCATTCTAATAAAAGCCGTACTAGCCAGTGATCACTGGTAGAAACACCCTCACACACACACACACACACACACACACACACACACACACACTTACTCTAAAGGTGAAATCAGTCATTCATCCTTTCTGTAGCTCAGGCTAGAAATTGGAAGACCAAAGTCAGTGTCTGCACTCTGCTTTTATCTTTGCTATCTGTTAATCCTCTAAAAGAATAATGTGGATGTCGATGTTCACACAAGCATCACGGCAGTTAAAGGTTATTACAAAGTCAGTCACTGGTTTATTGTCGGTGAGGCGGCTCCAGGTTTTGCCTGACTGAACAGATTAAAACACGGTTTCAGGTGTTCGCTTTGGACGAGTTGTGTATTTTATTCATACTGATCCATTTTTATTTGGGGATTTCTGTTGAAAACTACTTGAGAACATCTAGTTTTTCTCCTTTTTGTGCCAGTTGTTCTCTATGCAAATGTCTTGCATGTGTTTGTGAAATGCCTCTTTTTTGTGTCATTACACTTACCCGGCAGAGCTATAACTCTTCAGCATGTCCTCCTCAAAGTTTAAAGTCAGTACAGATTTTTTTAACAGCACCTTGCCAGGAGGGAAAAGCCTGTTGTCACCAAGAGACAGTTAAGAGCTTCCTGCTGAACTGCACATGTCCGAGATGTAAAGTTTACGTGTAGAATTAAACAGTTATAAAGTTGCTTGTTTTTCCTTCTATATATATATATCTGTGTGCTGCAGCTGTCAGATAGAAAAGACATACGCCCCACCAGTGAGTCAAAATCAGAGAGGACTGACCTTCAGTATCAGAGCTGCTGAGCTTCTCTTCATAGAGCTTTAAGCAGCTAAGTAAGTGTAAATCCTCAGCATCCCCGCCAGAAGTTCCTGCCCGGCTCAGCTGGCCGGAATCGACCAAAGACTCGAGTCTTTCAAGCGACCGTTGCTGAGTGTTTTGTTGTGTTAAGTGATCTATTGACACTTTATCGCCTCACTGTCAATATGAGTTTCAGCTGAGCAGGAAGAGAGGGGATTGATTCCCAAAAGCAGTCAATCAGTAGTACATATTCTTTTCTGAATTTGCATAATAGCCCGGTATGTTTTGTGTGTGGTTTGAAAAATGTTATCCATAACTAACTCTCCATTTATGTACATGAAAAGTTAAGGGTTTTCAAAGTGTGACACAGCCCCCGAAAATCCCCGTCCTCAATACAAACAGAAAGTGCAATGCAGCCATCGAGTCAGTTAGTTTGCTGTTATTTTGACAAACTGCCTCCATAATAAGTATGCTGAATAATCTATTAGCAGTTCTTATCTGCAGTTTAAATCATGGGTGTACAGACATCAATCACTGGATTACTTTGATACTGAAGAAAACTTAAAAACGTGATGATTCTCCAGTTCTGTGGGTGAACTATCTGGCTTAATTTCTGTATTTAAATGGTTCGCACACGTTCCATTAGTAAATCAGCACTAATTCTACTAATTGCTAACGCTAGGAGTTGTAGAAGGGGGATATTATGGTTGAATTGATGATTTTATACAGTTTACCAGGGCCAGGGTCACCAGTATCAAAGGCAGCTAATGTACTATTATTATGTAAGGGAGAGAAATACGTTCTGATTAATCAATTATCAATTATTCACAGGCTATTGTATATTATTACTTACCATCTTATGATTTGATAAATATGAGGATTTGTTTATTTACTATTCTCTGTTAATTACGCAACCTCATGCATGTTTGAACACAAGACAATTTTAAATGGTAAATAATAAATGTTCATAGTGTGAATTCTCTACACTAGCAAGTGCTCTCGTGTTCCCGGGCTGTGATCTAACATCCTACTGAACCTGGACAATATTTAAATGTTCCTAAACTTTCAGTGGATCCAACCTGTAATAGTGCAGTCTTCCTCACTGTGCACTGACACTGCTAATCCTTCAACAGCTCGGGTTAATGGTGTCCTCCTGTCTTGCAGGGGCGTGGTGCGAGTGGACATTAATCTGCAGGATGTTGATATCGACCAGTGCTCTACTGACGGATGGTTTGCTGGAACCCATCGATGCAACTTGACCACTATGGAGGTGAGTGTGCCGAACGGGCGGATCAGACAGAAGATTGATTCGCTCTGGAGAACTGAACTGTAACGTACACGCATTCAGTCACATCTCAACGAGGCAATAAATGGAAAAGCGCTAAATCTGTACATCGCGTGATGGATAGCAATTAATTCCTCTTTAATGATACTGTTACAACCACCGAACTAAACACTAGAGGTTGTTTTACAATTCGGTGCATGAAAATGTCTGTTTGAAACATCTCCTTTAAGATAAGAAAAGCATGTATTAGTTTGACTTTTTCCCAAAGCAGATCAATGTTCTGCAGTTAGCACTTAGTGTGAAACTACGTGGACAGATGGGCCCAATATGACAAATATTATTTTTGGACAACTAACAGAGATAAGGAATTTGTTCCAAATCTCAAAAGTCAGTTTACATGGTCAAGAAGAAATATATATTTAATTAAAAAAGTTAAGTGATGATGGAGATGGAGAGTTGGAAACATGCTCAGCCTTGGCAGAGGAAAGAATAGCCCGGCCATATATATGCTGATGAAAAATAGCTCGTCTCAAGGCCGTGGAACATGTGGGCAGAGCTCTTGGACAAGATGAAAAAACTCTCCGTGCTCTGCTATTTTTAAGACGATGTCATCTATCCACATCCTCCATTTCAAATTGGAGAGCTGTCGTTCTTTTTTGTTTATTTTCATCAATGCGAGCTGGAATAGATCGTAACCGATTAGCAAGTTATTCAAGGATTCAAGGATCATTTATTGTCATCATGCAACACAGGGTGACAGAATGAAATGCAGTTGTAGCTCATTTGCTACACAAAGCAAACATGGCAAACAAAACAAAACAAACAAACAATGGTGCTTTTATTTTTAGTTTGCATCAGGAGGAATGCAAACAGCAGCAACAAAACATTAATAAGAGAAACATGTAGCAAAATTACTTGCAAGTCAAAAATATTTCTGCATTTATATTTGGCCTTTGTTTACTTGGGGGCAGTTGAAACAAAGGGCTAATCAGTACAACACTTATTTAGTTAGCAAACAGCTCATTTCCACAACCTGCAGTTAGGGAGCAACATTATCACTCATTTAGAGTCGTGTTTTTGGTCATGACTTTAAGTCCAATATTGTCTCTCTTTTAGCTCTATTTTTGGTCTCCACCAACCCCCCCGAGAGAACACTCGGCTCTTTAACTGCTAAACGTTCCACTATGTTCACCAGTGAGTAGCTCACTTTGTTTATTTGCTGCTCGTTACCGGGCAGTTTAGTGTGAGAGCGGCTTCAGTGAATCAAAACAGTAACATTGCAGAGCGTAAAATCACACGATTTTCTAAAAGATGCTAAAACACTTAAGGGAAGCTGCAGTCGGTGACCCCTTTCATATACAAGTAGTCATTTGTTCCATTGTTAATACAGAAATATTACTCATAGCCGCTTTTACAGATATGTATTCCTAGAAAATATCCTTATTTAATTCAGTGTAAACAGCAGAGAGAAACTAAGCTCTTCAACTTACGCCAGCAGTTAGCATCGCAACCAATGATGTCTTTTTACATTCCAGTTGACAGCATGCATGATTAAAACTGTATGTTTTAATCACAGTTCATTAATTCTTTCTGCCTGCTTTCATAGTAACCTTTGGTTTGCAGAGAGCTGTCGTCTAGGTAGCGGCTAGCCTTCTGGTCGATGCCTCTTACCTGCCGGTTCAGTCTCATCATTAAGAGCAATAGATCTCGACAAGATGCTGCAAACCGGACTCCTTCATAATGCATGTGATGTAATGGATTGCAGTGAGCCTCTTTGAATAATTAATCACTCTCTTTGTCTGAGTACTTCCACCTTTCCGTGGACAGTTAATGCCAGAGACATTTGACATAGTGTGCATGTGTGTGTGTGTGTGTGTGTGTGTGTGTGTGTGTTGGGTGGCTGCTAGGAGAGAAATACATTGTTGCTGGTATAGATTTTTGCTGGGTTAGCAAAATAATGATCTCTGTGTGCTTACAGTGCAGAAGTGTGCCAGGAGTATGCTTACTTACAGCCGAATAATGAAAGCTGTTGTGGTCATTGCTTGTTGTTGCAGGATGTGACTTCCTCATTATCGTCATATCTGCTCTAGATACAACACAGATACAGAGAGGTATAGAAGAAGGAATACATGGACGTGAATCCCACAAGAGCAGTGATTTTAACCACCTTGTTGTCACATGTCAATGTGTATTGCGCCACTTGTTTGTGTCCTCATAGTCAAGCTATCTGTTAGAGCTTCATACATATCTTCCCGGTCCTAAAGTGCACGAGGCTGATGTCTTTCCAGCTATGAATAGAAAGCACGACTGCAGTGTAATCAAGTCTTGTAGGGCAGTGTGTGTGTGTGTGTGTGTGTGTGGTAATGTGTTTTTTTTTTTTAAATACATTTTTGTGAGGGATGCCCCAGTATTTGCAAACAGGGATTCATTTTGTGTTATTGCTGTATTTTTCTCCTCATGCAGGTATTCCCTCTACATGTGCAGCAATGTGTTGTTTAATGGGTTTCTTTGGGGCCATTTGAATAAAACAGACAATCACTTCAGGTGGCTATAGATCCACGTTAGTGGAGTATTTCCTTTCTTTTATTGGAAACAAAGCAGTTGGTTTAGTTGGTGTTGGAGCAGTTCATTTACTTAAGTGTTTCATTGACGTAGTCACATTTCCAATCCCCCCCCTCTCGGATGCTCTTTACTTCCACTCATAATGTGGACTCCACATTCTGTTTTGCATGGAAGACTCTGACAGGAATTGTCCTTTAACGTCTGTGAGATCCTTTCATCACATATCGACTGTTGTTCTCCTGCTTGCCTTTTAAGTGCCACCATTCCAGCAATTGGATTTGACAAAATGCAGCGGTTTCCAGCCGGCCGGCCGGCTCCCTGGCCTCGCCTCACATCCTGCCTCTCAAGCTGCTGTTTGCCCAGCCAAGCATGCACGGCAGCCCAAACTCAGACGGAGGCAGATGCTCCGGATGACTGATTCACCAGGCGAGCAGAGAGAGGAAAAACAAAATGAGGCTCCGACTGTCGACAAGTAAAATACAATAACCCAACGGTGTCAGAAGCCTATGGTTATTTGAAGGAAGTGCTGTTTTAAAATCCAACAGTTGTCCTTGTTTCTTTCTGCACTGATGGATTTCACCCTACTTATTTTCACCAATGGTGCCCCAATTGAGCTATAAAACGATATCCCAACTCAACGGTGCTCTGGTTAGGATTAACTATTACAACATTGTAAGTATTTAAATTATGAGAAAGAGAAAGTATCATGAGTTGACGACTGTTTATTCCGCTGATAACGATTGGTCGGGGGATCGATCGGAGAGTTGTACCACAGTGTGTATCAGTTAGTGCTTACAAGCTTGAAAGGGAGATAGATGGATGGATGGATGGATAGATAGACGGGCAGACAGACAGACAGACATGACTTGATAAAATGTTGCAGTGTAGATAATGTAACTTTATAGAAAAAACAAAACTATATACCATTTCCATATTGCTGTAAATCAGTTGTTTTTGAAAATAGGCACCACATTTATCGCCATCAAATTACAGGAACTTGCACACAATGTAGACAATCAAGCAGAATATGCCAACGCTGCTGACAATAAAGTATATATACAAAGCAATCAATTTTATCATAAACTGACTGCAGACCACTCGCCGCATGTATTAAGCCAAGAGCAAACATTGTATTTTCTTTGATTAATGACACAGTACAGCTCTGATGTATGCCAATCATGGTGAAGCTATGAATCATTACATAGCCAAGCATGGAGCCCATAGATTTTTCAAACTACAAGCTCTACCTAATTTCCTGTTGAAAAGGTGTATACATGCTGTTATGAGGCTGACGTTTTTCGCCCTACCTCTCATCTCTCACTAATGGCACTTCCATTAGTGTGTTTCACCGTTCTTCAAAAGTCCCGGACTTTGCCGCCCTGGGGGGCAGCTTTCACACGAGAACGCGGCTGTTGGACGATGATGAATGTTTCAATCAATTAGCTTATTGCTCAGAACAATTGGTGCGGCCCCCTCGGGGGACCGTGACACTATAACCTGAATGATTACTTCAGCCGTCACGGCGAGGACTCCTGACTCTGCACTGTTTCCTGTTGAGGGCCGCTGGTTAGAAATGAACATTTATAAACTGAGAACGACGACAAAGCTTCAGAGTTTGACCATAAAAACAGAAACGTATTGTGCACCTCACCGATGTTTGATTTGGATTATTTATGGGATGTAAAAAAATTTGTCTTTGACATAATATCTGGATTTTGAGTTTCCAATCTAAAAACTCAATACATAGATTTTTTTGAATCAGTCACAGTAACCAGGTTCGCCTGAGCTGATTTGTAGACCACTGCTGCTGTGAGGTCTGGCTCGTACCTGCTTCAGTAATGGTACCAGTGAGGCTCGGGGGATGGTCATTTCAGTCCACCACTCTGGTCCTCACTGAAATATCTCAGCAACTATTTGACGGATTGCCATGGGATTTTGTGCAAACATTCATGGTCCCCAGAGGATGAATCCGAGGATGAGACTCTGACTTTTCCTGTAGCGCCACCTTGAGGTTGACGTTTGTGGTTCTGAATGAAACTCTTTGCACCACACATTCTTGTCCCCTTCAAGATGAATCATAATAACTTACATGACTTTTACAGAGACATTATGAGGTTAACATTTCAGTTTGGGCAATACTTCGGTTTATGACCAAATATCTGCTCAACTCATAATATCCTCACCAGCACCAGCTGTTCTTTTTGTTTAGTGCAGACACACACACGGCAAACTATGATGGTACACATTACACCTGCTAAACACCTATGGTACACCTGCTAAACATCAGCACGGTAGCCTCGTTATTTTGGGTTAGCATTTAGCCTAATGTTGCCACAGAGAGCCGCTGGCATGGCTGTAAACTCTTAGTCTTGTTCGTTCAACATTTTGCCATCAAGTTCACATCATCTGGAATCCAGTAACTT